AGAAGACTGGCAACAGATCTTAGCTCAGGGTCAATCTTCCTCACCAAAAAAAATAGAAAAGAAAAAAGAAAATAAGATGCAAGGAATAAAATCAAGACAAGCTGGGAGGCAAACAGTCTGAATTCTCTAGCAAAGACAGAAACTACCAAATCTGTTTTGTTGTTATCATTGCCTTCTGCCATCTTCCCCCCAAACCCCAAGTCATGTGCAGATTACAAGATAGACATTTTTTTTTTTCTGAGGAAGACTGTCCCTGAGCTAACATCTGTGCCAGTCTTCCTCTATATGGGATGCCACCACAGCATGGCTTGATGAGCAGTGTATAGGTCTGCCTCCAGTATCCGAACCTGTGAACCCCAGGTCACTGAAGCAGAGGATGCAAACTAAGCCACTATGCCACTGGGCTGGCCCCAATTTTTTTTTTTTTACGAGAGAAAGAAAGGTTAAAAATTAAGGGTTGGCATATAATCCAGCTATCTCACTACTGGATATTTACCCAAAGAACTGGAAATCAACAATTCAAAGAGACTTATGCACCCCTATGTTCACTGCAGCATTATCCACGATAGCCAAGACATGGAAGCAACCCGAGTGCCCATCGACAGATGACTGGATAAAGAAGATGTGGTATATACATGCAATGGAATACTACTCAGCTATGAAAAAAGACAAAATCATCCCATTCGCAACCACATGGATGAACCTTGAGGGCGTCATGTAAAGTGAAATAAACCAGACAGAGAAAGACAAACACTGTATGATTTCACTCATATGTGGAATATAAACAAACTTACGGACAAAGAGACTAGTGGTTACCAGGGGAAGGGGGTGGAGGGTAGGCACTAAGGGGTGAAGGGGCATACTTATATGGTGTATGACAAACAATAATGTACAACTGAAATCTCACTATGTTATAAGCTATTATGACCACAATAAAAAAAAATGAAGAAAAAAAATGAAGAAAAAAATTTATGTCAACTGGAACCCCAAAAAGACAAAAATAAAATAAAATAAGGGTTGGGTAAAGACATATTAGGTAAACACAAAGAAAAACAAGAAGTGAAAATATTAATATTAAAAATATTTTGAAGACTTTTCAACAATCCTGCCTCAGTAGGCTGAGAGTTTTTTCCAGCCATTTGCCTTTATCTGGAAATAGGACTTAGAAAACCACTCACTAGGATTTCATGGTACAACAAGGCTTAGCCATTCCAGTCCCCTGAAATAGTTTATGTGACTTAAAAAGCATAGAACAGAGCATAAGACGGGCCCAGTCTTCATACGGCCCTGAAACATTTTTGTGTACTAACTATTTTGTCATATCCCTTGGGGAACAGAGAAAGTCCTTCCTGTGGCCTCAAAAGGGGAAGGAAATGTGTAACAGCAAGTCAGAGCTGTCTATCTCGGACCTACAGGAAGGAGGCAGGAACTGCCAAGGGAGAGAAGCAGTACCCAGGCCTATCCCTGGGGTTTGCAGGCAAATCTCATTTTACCCATCCCTTCTAAAAATCTGGCTATCATGGGGACCATGGGACCACAGGCCATCCACACTGCTAACTTCTCAGGGTGCAATGGGAATAGGAGGATGACTGGTTGAGGAAACAGAAGCAAATACCCCCTCAATGTGGTCCTCCACCAGCATCACCCAATCTTTCTCCTCACCTTCAAAACCGACATTTTCAAAGCTTGTCTACACTCAGTCTCCCCAGATCCTCACCTCTTGCTACTCCTCCACCCATTCATTCCCACCTGGCTTCTGCTCCCATCATCCCACCAAAACAGCCACAACTTAAGGTGTTGAATCTCCTCCACATCACTTCCTGTGGCAGCAATGGCCTCTGCTGACCAATGCCTCCTACTGAAGCAGACTCACCCTGGCTTCTGTGATATGACACAGTCCTGGTTTTCCTTCCCCCTTCTGGCTCCTTTATAGGCTCATCTTCCTTTACTCAGCTGTTCTAGGTGAGTTCCTCAATCTCACCACGCCCTTGACATCAAACACAACCTAGACAAAAATATCTCTCTAGCCTATATCCCTCCTGAGTCCCAGACCCACCTGTCTACTTGGTATCTCAAACGCACCATGTCCAGAACAGAATTCATGATCTACCCCAGCCTGCAGACCTGGTTCTCATCCAGTGTCCGATGTCTCAGGGGAATCCAGGACAACCTAGGGAGGATGGGAGTGGCCTCTGCTTTTGTGCACACAGCACAGGGCTAGGCAAACAGTGGGTACTCACTAATGCTGAGTTCAACAGAAATATGCCTTGTCACCCACTTCCTAAAAAAAGCTGTGACCTTTTAGGTGGACACAACAAGCTCACATCTGCTATCATGAGTCCCCCCAGATACACACCACTTTCCCTCAAAGATGCCACTCCCCAGGCTTAATCTGCCATACTCCCTCTGCCTCCCTGTTAACAGCCTTGGAGGTCCTCCTCTTCACCCTCCCTCAGACTGCTCTCATCTCACTGCCCTCCAAGCCAGCCTCAACCCATGCTCCAGGTGTAAGAGGCTGGCAGCACCTGACTTCCCTCTCAATTTCAAGAGTGAGTCCTCCCTTTTCCACTAAGGCAACAGGACCTTCAGGAGCACAAGCACACCACTGTGTGACATCAGACCTTTATATCATGGAGTACAGGGTCAGGATCAGTTGGCCTAACTCGGTATGGTTTCACTGATTATTAGAAAGTTCCACTACTTTCAACAACTCCTTTTAAAAATGCAAATTCCTAACAAGGAAACTTCAGTTTCTTCATTTTCCCTAAGAGCTTTCCTATCTAGGCATCACTCAAATTTCTGGTGTTCTAGGGGCAATGGGGTCAGAAGGTGTTGTAGAGAAAAATGCAGAAAACCCTAAGCCTGTTTGCTTGTCTGTGATTGTGAAGCACACCCACACACAGACTCTCCCGACTGCCCCCATGGGACCAAGTGCCAGGAACAGGCTTTCGGGTGGGGGGGGCGGCAGGGGGAGGCAGCGAAGAGAGATGACCACAGCATCTCCCACTGACCTTGGCCTTCTAGCAAAAGCAATCGAAATGGACCCTATCGATCATCCTCAACCTGGCTACATAAAGGAATCAAAAGGGACTCCAACTTGGCCTCTCGACCAGTGTCTACCCTCAGCTCTCAGTCTGGAATAGTTTCTATCTCACTCTCCTCACCGTTTTTTGTTTTGTTTTGTGTTTTTTTTTGCCTATCTAAACCGAGCCTTCAAGGTCTAATATTTTACCAATAGAGAAATCTTACTCCCCTGGCCTGCCACTGTCACTCAACCAACATCTTCTGAGCACCTACATGAGGCAGGCACCTCGATGGCTCCCATAAGGGCTGTGATTAATAGGCAAAAATGGGGAAAGCAGGGCATTCCACCATGAGCTAAGACAGAGAGACAGGTTAGGAGAGGAGTGGCTCAACTCAGATGGATCTTCAGTTGCATGAAGGGAGTGACAGCTATTATTATTATCATTATATTACTATCGCTGACACTCACAGATCATTAGTTACACACCAGGCCCAGCTGTAAGCTTTACGTCTAATCTGGGTGACATCTACCTGGAACACACAGGTATAGTGTACCAGTCACCACCTGTTCTGACTGTTCTGTAGTGCCTGAGCTGTAAAGTCCTTAAATATAGTAACTCACTGAATCCTCACAATAACCCCAGGAGGCAGGTATTATTAGTACCCGTAGTTTAAAGATGAGGAAACCAAGGCACAGATACTGGTAAGAGATGAGATTAAGGAGGGATGCAGGAGCCCAAGGTAGTGAGCACCCAATGCCAGGGCAACAAACTGCCCTAGCACCTCAGCTGGCCTCTCTTGTCGGGGAACCCCTTGTAGCACAGAGAATGCCTTGAGGGAAGAGGCCATGTTAATCCTCCCAGAATCCCCAACAATGGACTGAAGCAAGGAAGGAATGAAGATCATAATCAGGCCAGTCAGGAGTGAGCAAAGTAGCATGCCCTGCCTGTCCAGCTCCTGGACTCAGCCTGACCCTGCCCTGCAAGCTTCTGTTCCTGTTGTGTGGGCAGGGCAGGGGCTCACCCCTCACGGAGCCACTCCATGCCCAGGTCAGGGCAGCAGGGAGCAAAGGAAGGCTGTGGGGCGACAGCAGAGTGGCTGGCTACCATGGATTTCTAGGGTCTGTCCTAAAACACCCAGTCTCCATAGACAGGTCACTCATCAGAGGGGCGGGGACAGAAACGGTCTAGGGCAGACTGCTGCCAGCTTAGGCTAGCACTAGCTAGCTTAACTCCTCTCCAGTCTCTAGATGACGAACTTCACAACTCTCCTTTAAGCCAATAGACGGGTTTCTACCTTTTTAAGCCCTCAGAGGGCTGGGTTGAGCCGAGGGAGAGATAAAAGTCCAAGAATCCTTCCCTGAAAATGTAGTTTAAGATTGGAGAAGAGGGAAAGGCAGAGACGGTAAACACAGGTGAACACAGCACCTGGGATGGATCCCACGTTCTCTCAAATAAGGTGCCTTACAAACTCCAGCACTAGCAGCTCCCAGGAATTTGTGTCCTTCCAGTTCCGGAGGAAAGTTCCTGAAGGCAGCCTCCTCTACTCTCTCCTCAGCACAAGTCTTTCCCAGAAGGGCACACATACTCTCGAGAACTCAGCTGGGTCAGAGGGCCCTGGGCCACCGGCCATCCCCCACACCAGCCAGTCGCCTTCTGGTCGCTTGTTCACCCAGTCCCAAGCAGGCCTAGGCCGCACAGGACAATCCCATGGCCCTACACACCAGGGTCCGGCCTGTGCACCGCCCACCCCACAGGGAGGGCACCCCCCGCCGCTTGTCTAGCTGAGCAGGCAGGCCGCGGCAGCCTGTCCGGTACCAGCCCTACACCCGTCCCCGCCCCCATGCTGTGCAACCAGGAAGCCGCAGGGCCAGGCCGGGAGGGGGCGCGGGGCTGTCCGGGCCTCATCTGCGGGGGTCGCGGCACACAGCCGCCGCCCCGTCCTGTGCCCCCGGGCAGTTGGGGACCCTCACTCACCGGGCCACTGGACAACGGGGCGGGGGACGGCGTGGGACGAACGGGGATGTGGGCAGCAGCCGCTCTCTCCGCGGGCGTTCGGGGTGCGGCGCCTTGGCTCAGCCTCAAGCTCCGTCCCACTCCCGCTCTCCAGGGGCACTTGGGACACTCCGGCCTCCCGGACGCCGCAGTCGTCTGGGCGGGGCGGGAGGAGAAGCCCGCTGTGGGGAAAACTGAGCGGGCGCGGCCGCTCTAAGCGCCCCGGGGCGGGGCGGGGGCGTGGTCTGGGTGCGGCCCCGCCCCCAGGTGAGAGCCCAGGCCGGTGGGTGGGGACCAGCCTCCAAGAGGCGGGGGAAGGAAGCCGTAGGCCTTCCGGCTCCCGAACTGAGGAGGGCACAGCGAGGGTTTGGAGGTCGGCGTGGAGCTTCTACTATCCTCCACCTCCCTCGACGGATCCCGCCCTACACCGCAGTAGCGGGGAGGGAATTCCCCAAGCCCTTTCCATCCTCCCGATGTGCCATTGTTAGTGACTCTCTTTAAGGTAAAGAAAACTTTCTGCATTAAGAAGGTCACACACAGTATGCAAATAGGGGTGGGGGTGGGGAGAGTAGAGAAGCCTGACACACTGCCTCAGCCACGTGATCAAGGTCAACGTCAAGTGATCAACCAGCAGTGATAGTATGTACTCCGTTCTGGTCTTCCTCCCAAGAATACATAATTCTAGTCTAATCGTAAGAAAAACATGAGAGAAATCCCAGTTGAGGGATATTCTACAAAATACCTGACCAGTACTCCTCAAAACTGTCACAGTCATCAAAAACAGGGAAAATTTGAGACAAGTACTGTCACAGCCAAGAGAAGCCTAAGAAGATATAAAAACTAAATGTAATGTGGTATCCTGGTAAAAATACATTAGGTAAAGACTAAGGAAATCTGAATAAAGTATGGATATTGGCTAATAATGCATCAATATTGGCTCATTCATTGTAGCAAAACCACCATGCTAACATGTTAATAACAGAACAGAATAACACAGTGTTTGTGAGAACTCTGTATTCGCAATTTTTCTGTAAAATCTAAAACTGTTCTAAAAAAAGTTTTTTTTTAAAAAAAAGGTCATGCACTTAAGATATAAATATATGGTAATTATAAAAGATTTTTTAAAAACTGAGATTGACTCTTCACTTCCCCAACCCACTTTTCGGTGTGCCCTACCAGATCTTTCTCTTTACAATACAGTCTTTGTGTGTTGTGTATAGTATATTCACGTAGATGTATTGTTTATGTTGGGGAAGTGGGAGAATTCCCCTCACTCTTTCCCTTAAGGTTCTTATGGCCGGTCAAATAATTAAAAAGGCAGGTTAGCAGGAGGAAATCAAACAAAGTTTAATAACATGTATATATGGGAGAAACTCAGGAAAGAGTGAGTAACTCAGCCATCTGGCTGAGGCTACCTGTTTAAATATCCTCATCCATAGACAAGGAGGATGTTGGGAGTAGTGATTTGGGATTTCAGAGGAGAGGAAGACAATTTACATGGAGATGGAAATGGAAATGTTTGTCAGACAGCTTTTGCTGGGCCAAAAAATGGGTTTGTTGGTGTCTTTCCATCAACACCTATTTAACATTATACTATAGCTATCATATGGTATGAGCTCCTTCTTGGAACAGGGCTTCTATGTTAAATTCTTTAGGCAGTTTGGGGGAAGGTTGAATGTTCTTCCTAAGTGTTTCTGAGCCTTTATTGTCTTCAGCTCAAAATAATCCACACACATCAGAGTGGAACATCTTGAGGCAGCCTGCCCTGAACCCCATTAGTTACAAAACAGTGGTGCAATTATTTTTCTGCAATGTGATTTTTTTACTCGTATCTTGGAGAGGCTTTCCATGCAAGCGCACCTGGATCAACTTGGTTCTTCCTAACGAATGCACAGTATGCACCATCCTGCGGGGCACCATTCTTTATTACCTAGTTCCTTACTGAAGGACATTTAGGTAGTTGCCTATTTGGGGCTGTTACAAATAAGGCTGCTGGTCCTATTTGCATTTTAACAGGAAATGAAGTGGGAAGGACTGGCAGCTCTAAGCTGAAAAGGAGGCTCTGGCCTCAGCTCTGCCCATGCAGGGGTGTGGGTACCTGACAGAAGCCGTGCCTGGGACAGACTGGCCACTGCCCCACTACAACGCTGGGGACCCAGTCATCTTCTGGCCTCTCCAACATACCCCCTCCCTCAAGTCCCGGCTCTTTTTCCGGCCTGGACTGCATTTTTTGGACATGAATGGGTGGGCGAGGGTGAGACTCAGGCTAAAGGTTCCAGAGTGACTCCGAGGAAACGCTCACTGGAGCAGAAGAGGAGCGGAGGGTATGAGGCACCAGGAGACTCCCAGGAATCATTATTACTCTGGTGGGGGCGCCGCAGCAATGCAGTAGCAGGCGGGACTCGGGGCGTGGGCGTGAAGTCTCCAACCTAGCCGCGGCCTTCCAAGGGGAGCTTCTCTTTCCCTCGCTATCTCTGGGCAGGGGGATTCGTCCTGGAAGGTCACCTGGCGCCGACCCAGCCTCCCCTGCCTGGACACTCTGCGCCAGAGCCCCCCGCCCAGAAAAGGCGAACTTCTTTGAATGGCTCACTTTTCTCCTAGCTGAGAAAATGCTTCTTTAAATACCACATTAAAAAATAATAAGTCATTTAGGATGGAATTCCTTCTGTATGTAGCACACACTTTCATGCCTCAGAACTGAACTCTTCAAGTCCAGAATGGTGAATAGCTACCATTGTGCTCACCTTTTCATGATTTTCACCCATTTGTTTTCAACAAACCTGTGTTGATCCCCACCGCGGGGGAAGCACTGTGTGGGGGAAGGGACGCTAGATTTGGTGTTCAAACACCTGGGTTCTAGTTCCGATTCTGACATTTGGAAGTGATGCATTCTCCCAGACTTGGTTTTCTCGCCTATACAATCTTCAAAATTATCTATAAAAATCTGTAAAATAACCCCTGCTTCATTGCTTCTCAGGACTGATAGAAACATCAAATGAAGTAAGTGCTTTATGAAAAGGTCACATTCCACGGAGCTCTGAGTAGTGTTACTGCACAGAATAGGAGTTCTTTGCGTGGTGTTGCATAAACAAGCCGATTGATTGTGGCGCCAGCCTTGGGGGAGAGTCAGCTTTGATTCTGCAAGATGGATCTGCAGGGAGACAGGGAGCGTGTGCCCTCAGAGCTGTCTCCCTGATTCAGGATTTGGGGCAAAATGTAAGGGGTTAGGGAGAATAAGCTGGCACGTGGAAGTGCTCCTGGGACAGGCTTTGATTGGTGGGCTTCAAGTATTTATGGTAAGGTTTTAAACATTTATGACAGGCTTCTGAACATTTATGACGGGGCTCTAAACATTTTTGGTGAGGTGGAGGAGGAACTTTAACACCGGATCTTCCTGAATCAGGGACCCCTTGCTTCTCATAAGAGTCAGACTTTCAAGTTCTGGTTGTGTTCCCGTCCTTGGGTTCTGTGGGGAGGAGGATCTTTGGTTCCAAGGTTGTTTCAGGTCACGATTTCTTCTTTTGCGCATACCCTGGCTGTGTGACTTTGCAGGTTTTACTGAAAGACAATTCTTAATCACTCCGTTGATGAGAGATGGGGTTAGTTGAACTGGTCCTGGAGGGCCTTCAGTTACAGTAGTACAGTATTATTATAATCTTCCTTACATTGACTCATTCAACAGACAATGGTTGAGTACAGGTAATGTGACCAGCCCTGTGCTTTTGTCATGGAAAGAGGGACAAAAAAACCTCCCTTACTCTAAACACAGATCTTCATCTAATGGAGAAACAAATAAATTGTAAAAAACCCCACATAACAGAGGATCCCCACAAAAGGGATCCCTCGTGCAGGTGAGAGGACAGGAGGCAGGTAAGAGGATGGGATCCAGAAAGGCTTGCCAGACTTTGCAAAGATCTGACTTTTAATTGTTTAAGTCATGTTAATTATTTTTAAAAATTATCTATTGCTTTAATTTGTACTTTTATCTTTGAGTTCTGTTCCTTCTTTCTTTGGTTTGCTCTGGTGTTCTTCTGGTTTCTAGAGTTGAATATTAGGGTCATTTATTTTCAAAATCTTTTGTTGTTGTTTTCTAATAAATGCATTTAAGACTACAGATCTTCCTCTAAATCCTGCTTTAGCTACATATCACAAGTTTTAATATGCTATGCTTTTGTTTAATATGCCATGTTTTGTTCTTTCTCAGTTATGAATACTCTTTTTTTCCATTAGGATGTGATCCTTAATTCATGAATTATTCAGAAGTGTGTTTTCCACTTTTGTTTTCAAAGTTATGGCTTTTTAAAAAACAATAATTTTGTCATAGATTTGTAGCTTTAATGCTTGAAGATGAAAAAATGTGCTCTTTTTAGAATTTGTTGAGACTTCTTTGTGACCTAATATACAGACGTTTTTTGAATGTCCCAGTTTTTGTGAACGTATATTCACTTTTGACATGCACAAAGTTCTCAATGTATATCTCTCCATTCAGCTAATCTGGTTATTTATATTATTTATATCCCAAAGTTTTTTTTTCTGTTCAATCCATTGATTTCTGAGAGAGTGGTTTAGTATTTTCCACTTTTATTGTACTTTGTTAATTTCTCCCTATCATTTGGTTTGATTTTGCCTTATAATTTTGAGAGCAAATTATTAGGTTCATACAAGTTCATTAATTGTTTTCTCTTTTGGTGACTTATCTCCTTTTATTACTTTTCTCATTAAAAGATTATTATGCCTGCTATAAATATTGTATCTAAGATAGGATTTGTCTAGTATTTGCTTTCTCTCTCTTTTTTTCACTCTTTCTATTGTTCTTAGGTTTGTCTCTTGGAAATAACATACAATTTTTTTACAAGATTTAAAAAATTAATCTGAATGTCTGCTTTTTTTTTTTTAAAGATTTTGTTTTTTTCCTTTTTCTCCCCAAAGCCCCCCGGTACATAGTTGTATATTCTTTGTTGTGGGTCCTTCTAGTTGTGGCATGTGGGACGCCACCTCAGCATGGTTTGATGAGCAGTGCCATGTCCGTGCTCAGGATTCGAACCAACAAAACACTGGGCTGCCTGCAGCGGAGCACACGAACTTAACCACTCGGCCACGGGGCCTGCCCCATGAATATCTGCTTTTAATTGGTGAGTTTAACCAGTTTATATTGATAATGATTACAGAAATATTTGGACTTATTTCTGCCCTTTCTTTTTGTTATATGCACACACACACACAC